TGGCTAGTTTTGCTACCTAAGGTTCACCTTCCATTCTATTTCTTCAGGATTATGAGCTTTCATAATAACAAGATTTCTTCTCTATCTCACCTGTTGATGACTTCTATGTTGTTGATGATTTACCTCGTCATTATTGACATTGATGCTCTTTTGGATAAGTCATCAACCTGTACTCTGATATAGTGGACACCATATTTTGTTAGCAATGCTTCCCAACGGATGAAATACGTGGTACTATGGTATGGTAGCGACTCGCAAGCACACCCATGTTTTGGTTAGTGAGGTAATGTGGGTTGTTGTTGTTGTTTAAAATTCAGCTACTGGGAACAAAAGTTGCAAGTAGCACGGGCTATGGTGAGCCCGTAGCGCATTTACCCGGCACAGGAGCGGGGCAAGTAGCACGGGGCTATGGTGAGCCCATAGTGGCCTTACTTGACACAGGAGCGGGGCAAGTAGCACGGGCTATGGTGAGCCCGTAGTGGCCTTACCTGGCACAGGAGCGGGGCAAGTAGCACGGGCTATGGTGAGCCCGTAGTGGACTTACCTGGCACAGGAGCGCGGGGCTGTAACTGCTAAGTGGGGCACGGTCTTGGGTTGGCCCGTTTTAGCACCTCGTATTTTGTCTGTTTCAAGAGGACCCCCACACACGCCTCACACCTCTGGGTCAGTGTTCTTGGCTCGAGAGATGTGCAGGACTCTCTGTACATCTCTGCACATCGCATCACAAGAGAGATGTGTCTTGAGGCTCTCTGTTGCTAAGAGTGAGTTTATAACTTTAGCTGTTTGCTGGTAATTAGCTTTTATATTGAAACGCTTTTCCCTGGGAAGATTTTGTATGGAAAGATTTTTTTGTGAGACTTTTGTCTTTAAGATTCCTTACCATGGAAAGCATTTCTAATGGTATGAGAAAAAAATACCAAATATTTTTCTTTTCTAAATAATTACGAGAGAGAAACCACTAAGCCAGAATGGGAATTAAGGTGACTGGAATATGAGGCCTGTAATCAGGAACGGTGGTCAATTACCACTTAAGCCATCGGGGATCGAACACCGTTCCTGCAAGAGGCGTCGACGTCGTCCCTCCCTCTACCACATCAAGAGGACGAACATCCTGTAGTCTAAGAACCATCATATTCAATTTCCTCTCAAATATCAGTAGACAATTATATATAAAATATCACCATTTAAAAAGAGACCTTCATTCTTCTTAATGGTTACAAAATTGACCAAATTATGTTGAATTATGTTGAATTGTTGCAAGCAACATTTTCAAGATTGAGTTGCGATTTAACGTAATTCAAACAGAGATCAACTTTAATTAAATAGCACTGAGCTATTTATTTTTTTTGTAAATGTGGGTTATTTGATAAGAGCGGCTTTAGGCAGAAATGTATGATTTTAATCAGAGTAAACTCGATAATCCGATAAGATATATATATATATATATATATATATATATATATATATATATATATATATATATATATATATATATATATATATATATATATATATATATATATAAACTAAAGTGGTGTTCGCTATGCCATCGAGGTCAGGATACTCACAATAACGAAGGGATCATAAAATTGGTCACTGGTTATTAGCGTGAGTTTTGAGGTCTTTACCTGAGCCCGCTGGACGCTAAGTGGAGGTAATCCACACCTATATCCGTGTCAGGTAAATGATATGGTATATGGATCAAGGGATTGGATTACCAGCAGTTAGCGAGGTGATCTTGGAAAGGTATCAGATGGACCATCAGCTGGCGACTTTCTGACTGCTACCGTAGTGTTAAGTACTCTGGACCACATATTATACAGGTCCGAGTTTAATCCCTCTATGAATCTATATGTTAGCCCCGCTTTCTCTTTCTTGATTTGCCATTCTAGAAAAAATGATTACAACCTAACCTAACCAGAAACGCGAGAACCCAATCAACCTCCCTAACTTATTGAGTCCGATGCAAAGAAAACGTAGATATTTGATAGCTACGGGTATACATTTTACCCGAACAAAAATATAGAATAATGAAAAATATTATACATGCTAAGAAAACGATATATGTGTGCCACACACTAATCGACATACACCAAAAAAAAAATGTAAATGTATGCAAATTACCGCTACATATAAATACCCAAATAACCGATATATGCAAATGAGATCTATGCAAATTAGCATGCAAGCCGATCAGTAGCGGCAGTAACCTTGCTAATAGGTTACGTCTCCACCCAACTCCCTCTCGATAACCCAACAGCGCTGGTGAAGCCTCAGGTAAACTCACCTTTGTGCACTCTGAGTACCATTGTAGACTCTGGCTGCTTCACAGGATGTAAACATAGAAGCATCTTCTCTGGTTTACAGGCTGCAAACCTTCTTTCATTTACAGGTTGTAAACCTTCTCTCATTTACAGGCTGTAAACCTTCTCTCATTTACAGGCTGTAAACCTTCTCTGGTTTACAGGATATAAACATTGAAAGCATCGTTGAGACGGCGTGTGGAATGAGATTATTTTCCATTTAAGACAGTTTTTTTTCTGTTCCTTTTGGCTTTCTTTAGCTGTTTAACGGAACTTGTTTGCATATATTTACAGATGTTGTCAGCAGCCTTTTGTCAGTATTGCCTTAGTCAATAACCGTAAATTGCAACTATAGTCTTCCAGTCCTTAATGACGACTCTTGCAATGGTCGGACAACCTTTGCAATTATTGTCAACAGCAACCACTTTCTATGTCATAACAATACATGACTCCTAAGAAATGAATAAAGCACTAATGGTACTGCATGACTACACCAACATACTGGATAGACCACAAACATATTGGATAGATTATCCAGTCATACTGGATAGACCACGAACATAGCAAATAGACCACAGATATACTGAATAGACAGAGAATATACTAGGTAAGCAATGAACATATTGGATTGACCACAGGCATACTGGATAGGTCATAAACATGATAGACCATGAATGTGCTCCCAAGCATGCCTGAGAGCCATTATCCCCCATCCCCCCATCAGGTTAATGAGGCACCCAGCGCCTACGTGAATGGGGGCCCCAGCACCTGGGTGAATGAGGCACCCAGTGCCTAGGTGAATGGGGGGCACCCAGTAACTGGGTGATTGTAAAGGTGCCAAAAGTACGCAAATAACTCATGGTCTTCTGAATTGACTCAAATCAGCCGTTCATATGCTAATCGCCCCCCCCCCCCCGTATTTATCCAGGAATGTTGGGTGTTTCTTGGAAGGAAGAGGAGGAGGAGGAGGAGGAGGAGGAGGAGGAGGAGGAGGAGGAGGAGGAGGAGGAGCAGAAAGAGGAGCAGGATGGAATGTAGGAGAAGGAGGATTTGGGGCTAGATAGAAAAAGAGAGAAAGGAGAATGGGCAGAAAAATGAAAGGGAAAAGAACCTAATGAGTAGAAAGAACGTAAGAAGCAAATGGAGACAATGAATTGAGTAGAAATGTGAGAGAAAAGGATCAAAACAAAGAGGAACACAACGAAGAGAAGGAATATAAAAAAGAGAAAACAGAATAAGAAAGGAAGCTGAAAATAAAGAGAACCCCATCTAAAAGTGAAGAAAGTGACGAGGTTTCTGCCCGTCCTGAACCCATTATGAAGAGGAGACAAGATAAAGAGAAGGAAGAACAAAGAGAGAAATATGCAGGAGAAGAAGGGAGAGATTCTTACTACAAGTGTCGGCTGATGGTGAAGTATTCCGCGATAGTTTCTGATAGAACAGATAGTCAGGCTGGGTTGCCTGCAGAATCGAGCTATTAGCTCTTGAACCCAGCCTTTCTAACCAATTTATTTTTCTCTATTATATCTACTACATAAACATTTCTCTAACACGCACACATACATATCCCCCAGGAAGCAACCCGTAGCAGCTGTCTATCTCCTAGGTACCTATTTGGTGCTAGGTGAACAGATGCATATGGGTGAAAGAAACTCTGTCCATTTGTATTTCCTCCTCCACTGGTGATGGAACCCTGGCCACTAGGACTACGACCCCAGAGCGCTGTCCACTCAGCCGCGAGGTCCCGCAGTGTGTGTGCGTGTATGTGTGCGTGTGTGTGTGCAAAACACTGCCCATCAGTGTCGCTAGCATTTACTCCATAACAAAAAAATTCGTGTTTGAATAACTGTACAATCTGATTCTACATAGACTGCTGCTCCCAGTCTTAGCAAGCGTTCAATTTCACACAACGTGGACTCTCTAGATCATGCCACATGGATCACATATAACATATAATCTATAACTTTCATAACATATAATAGGAAGTATTGATAACATGCAACTGTGGCCACGGGCAACATGTAATTTCGAACACAGATAAGATGTTGTTTGATTACGAACACTGATGACATACATATCTCGAAAACGGAAAGAATTATAATTACGAACGTTTTAACTGTAGAAACTCTTCCAATTATTGACTTTTCTTACAGCTTAATATTTAACTTCAATTAATTACCATAAATTACCATAAATTACTCATCTGAGTAATTCTTTACTCAGATGAGATGAATAAAGCAATGGTAAAGCGCGGACAAAACAACAAACTCACTATTATACCTGGCAAAAGTGTGTGTGCGAAGCGACTTCTCCTATCTTTAATGGACACAATTTCACAGATAAGGATCTCCAAATATCCTGTGGGAATTAGCTCTGCCGCTTGAGAAGCACTCCATTAAGTCTCCGCTTCCCCCTTACCATAATAATGGGGGAGAGGTTGGCTTCTCTCCGGCTTCAGCAAGGCTAAATGTAATATAATCTCCGCGTATAATGGCATTGTCACCCCCTTGAAGCGTTGATTATAATGGATACATTGTGGAGGCATTGTAACCCCCTAATAATATCTACTCACTTTAATAATGAAGAATATTTTCTCGTTATCAAGGAGCGAGATGCAATATAATGGCAACGGGTAGCGCATCGTCGGCTTCTGAAGTAGTCGATGTTTTGGTGGTGAGCGTATGGCTATGCAAAGCACTAGCGAGTGACTTCAACGCACTGGCGGTAGTGATCTCTAAAAAGCCTGTTCCACAACAGCCTTCTAGAGATCACTACTGCCAGCGCGTTGAAGTCACCACTCGCTTGTACATTTGCTGCCCAGAGTCCACAATGAAGACGATATATATGCTGTTTACGAAAAAAAAAGATATCACAAATATTCAAATAATTCATATAATTTGTGTGTACGGAGGTACTATCCGATAAGCTGGACGCCTAATTGGTCGGAGTGGCAATCTCTTACCTGTTACACCTGATCTAGAGTCAAAAGTCGATTTCACGCCTTAATGCGATCTCTTGCCCCTCCCTGCCCTACTCCCTTCTTGGGGTGTAGCCTTGTCTACCTGGGCTACTGAGAAGGGGAGGAAGGGGGGGTAGATAGAGAGGAGTTCTGGAGGGTAGATAATGCGTGTAGTCGGAAAAGGCGTTCGGGGTTGGCAGAAAAGGCTGTCGGTTACTAGGAGCGCTGAAGGTGGAGGAGAGAGAGGTTCTGCGGTGGGTGCAGTCGGGAAAGGGGTTCGAGGTTGTCAGCATGTGCTAAAGCATAGTAGGAGAGGTCAGTTAATTATCAGGAGAAAGCGCTATAAGCCATTACGACTATATATATAGCACTTGGAAGGAATGAGGATAGGGAATTGGGCTAGGACGGAGGGAAGGAAGTGCTGGGATAGTTGAAGGTGACTACTAGAAGGTTGAGCTAAGTTCTGGCAATTAGTAGCATTAATTAAACTTGCTTGCATGGAAGAATTAAGTTACAGAATTATATCAATGGGAGATAACTTCGAGCTCACAAAATGGGTTCAAGGTCCCCAGAGACTTACCAACTATAGCAGGGGGAGGGGGAGGGGGGAACATAGTGTCTAGGGGGGGGAACATAGCGTCTAGGAGAGCGCAGGGAGTTGAAGTCTATTACATAATGCAACCACTCGAGTCACACAAAGTGAAACTTAGTGGCATCTTAGACTGGACAAGTGACAGTCCACTTGAACTGGACGGCTTCGTATCACTTAGTTCAGCATTCAATCCCACGATAGTTCCACCGTTTCTCGTTCCCTCTTTCTATTCAAGCTCTTATTCTGTCCTAATCCTCCTTTCAAGTGCCATATAATCCAGCTAAACTTTTCAAGTGGCTTAGCTCTTACGCTTCACAAATTTATCTTAGTAGCCAAATGACTGCCAGAAAAGGCAATCAAAAGGAGCAATGAAAAACAGCCGGTGTAACAGCTAAGTGAAATTGGAAAAACCAAAGTCGTTTCAGTGCCCGGCAAAATAGGATATTATAATTAGACACAGGGTTACCAAAGGCGCCTTGATTATAGACACAGGGCTACCAAAGATGTCTGGATTTGACACAGTGCTACCAAAGGCGTCTGGATTAGACACAGGGTTACCTAAGGTGTCTGGAGTAGAAACAGAGCTACCAAAGGCGTCTGGATTAGACACAGGGCTACTAAAGGTGTCTGGATTAGACACAGTGCTACTAAAGGCGTCTGGATTAGACACAGGGCTACCAAAGATGTCTGGATTAGACACAATGCTACCAAAGGCGTCTGAATTAGACACAGGGCTACCAAAGGTGTCTGGATTAGATACAGGTCTACCAAAGATGTCTGGATTAGAAACAGGGTTACCTAAGGTGTCTGGAGTAGACAAAGAGCTACCAAAGGTACCTGGATTAGACACAGGGCTACCAAAGGCGTCTGGATTAGACACAGAGCTACCAAAGGCGTCTGGATTAGACACAGGGCTACCGAAGGTGTTTGAATCAGGCACAGAGCTACCAAAGGTGTCAGGATTAGACACAGGGCTACCGAAGGTGTTTGAATCAGACACAGGGTTACCAAAGGTGTCTGGATTAGACACAGGAATAACAAAGGCGTCTGGATTAGACACAGGGCTACCAAATGTGTCAGGATTAGACACAAGGCTATCGAAGGCCTCTAGATTAAAAAAACGACGATTGTGATTGCCAATGGAGATTGGGATTGGGATTGGGATCACCAGAGTGTGTGTAGGCCGTGTCAACCGTGAAGTAGGAAATATTCCCTAAAGTCTGAACGCCAAACGAAAGCTTCTTGAAAAGGGAAACCTCTTGGAACATAAACACCAGATGAGCTGAGCCTAAACTCACACTCCAAGAGCTGTTAGAACACACTCCACAACGACTAAGGAACAGAAAACACGCACTCACTAGGAGTAGAACTGGCATTACACACTCAACCCATCATGGCGTGAGTGTACACACACTCAACCCATCAAGACGTGAGTGTACACACACTCAACCCATCAAGACGTGAGTGTACACATACTCAACCAATCAAAACGTGAGTGTACACACACTCAACCCATCAACACGTGAGTGTACACACACTCAACCCATCAAGACGTGAGTGTACACACACTCAACCCATCAACACGTGAGCGTACACACACTCAACCCATCAAGACGTGAGTGTACACACACTCAACCCATCAAGACGTTAGAGTACACACACTCAACCCATCAAGACGTGAGTGTACACACACTCAACCCATCAAGACGTGAATGTACACACACTCAACCCATCAAGACGTGAGTGTACACACACTCAACCCATCAAGACGTGAGTGTACACACACTCAACCCATCAAGACGTGAGAGTACACACACTCAACCCATCAAGACGTTAGAGTACACACACTCAACCCATCAAGACGTGAGTGTACACACACTCAACCCATCAAGACGTGAGAGTACACACGCTCAACCCATCAAGACGTGAGAGTACACACACTCAACCCATCAAGACGTGAGTGTACACACACTCAACCCATCAAGACGTGAGAGTACACACACTCAACCCATCAAGACGTGAGTGTACACACACTCAACCCATCAAGACGTGAGTGTACACACACTCAACCCATCAAGACGTGAGAGTACACACACTCAACCCATCAAGACGTGAGTGTACACACACTCAACCCATCAAGACGTGAGTGTACACACACTCAACCCATCAAGACGTGAGAGTACACACACTCAACCCATCAAGACGTTAGAGTACACACACTCAACCCATCAAGACGTGAGTGTACACACACTCAACCCATCAAGACGTGAGAGTACACACACTCAACCCATCAAGACGTGAGTGTACACACACTCAACCCATCAAGACGTGAGTGTACACACACTCAACCCATCAAGACGTGAGTGTACACACACTCAACCCATCAAGACGTGAGTGTACACACACTCAACCCATCAAGACGTGAGTGTACACACACTAACCCATCAAGACGTGAGAGTACACACACTCAACCCATCAAGACGTTAGAGTACACACACTCAACCCATCAAGACGTGAGTGTACACACACTCAACCCATCAAGACGTGAGAGTACACACATTCAACCCATCAAGACGTGAGAGTACACACACTCAACCCATCAAGACGTGAGAGTACACACACTTAGCAATATAAAAACTCATAATTCACACACAGTACTTGAAGTATGCTAAACAACCAAAATTACTGAATGCTCTTCTCTCAGTTCAGCAGAAATACTGAGAGTGCACAATGAACAACAGGAGTACTGAGAGTGCACAATGAACAACAGGAGTACTGAGAGTGCACAATGAACAACAGGAGTACTGAGAGTGCACAATGAACAACAGGAGTGCTGAGAGTTCACGATAAAGAAAAGAAAAGAAAATGAGTTAAAGATAAAAAGAACACACAAAATAAAGGAACGGGAATGATGAATAACAGAGAAATGGAGAGTTCTCCTTGAAGAACATGAACAAATATTATATAACTAGCAGCTGAAGAACTGGAAGTATGCTTGAATGCGTGCGTGTGTGTGTCTGCGCGCGTGTGCGTGTGTGTGTCTGCGCGCGTGTGCGTGTGTGTGTGTTTGTGTGTGGGTAATCATCATACATCATACTTAAGAGAGCAACCTAGACCCAGTGTAAGTAACCGCACCTTAATGCCTCTGTTTACTTTCCTCAGCCCAAGAACCAACACCACCGAGAGAGAGAGAGAGAGAGAGAGAGAGAGATAGAGAGAGAGAGAGAGAGAGAGAGAGAGAGAGAGAGAGAGAGAGAGAGAGAGAGAGAGAGAGAGAGAGAGAGAGAGAGAGAGAGAGAGAGAGAGAGAGAGAGAGAGAGAGAGAGAGAGAGAGAGAGAGAAAGGGAAGTGGGGGGTTGGGGTCGAGGCGAAACTAATAATCGAGAAGACTAAAAAGAAAGAAAAAAGAGGGAAAATGGTAGGGAGAGGAATAGATGTTCTATTCCATAGAAGGTTCTATTAGGAAGACCGGTTGGTACAATTGCCTTAAGTTAAAGTACCAATTGGGCAACTGTTCCGTCGATGTGGTTTGACCAGTAGAAAATAGGGAGTGTGTAATATATCGTTGTATTTCATCATATCGTTTAAGCTGAAAATTATCTAAAGAGGGAAAAAGGCCACTTATGTTTAGCTGTACTCTGGATCAATCTGAAGAACTTGACACCAGCCATGTCTTACCTATGGACTAGGAACATAAAAACTAACGATACTTCAGAAGACCAATTGACCCATACTCAGTAGCTGCTATTTGTGTTCATATGTAAATGGAATCTATAGCACTGTAAAGGTAACTGCTTCAATTTTGTTGTGGCATTGTAAGAATCACTGCACCGTTGCTCCTGTTTTTTTGGGGGGGCACTGCGATTTGGCTATACCGTTGGCTCCCGTTTTCTTTTTCTTTGGCACTGAGGATTATTTGACTGTTGGGTTCCATTTTTGTTTCTTCACACTTTTGGCGCACAATATGGGGAATGCTGTAGCTGTTAGTTATGCTTTTTTATGCTTTTTTATGCTTCTTTTTTAGCTGTAGCTCAATTATCATTTTTTGCGCATGTTTAAACAGTACAATGTGCATACAGTTAAGGCATAACAAGCGATTCATTTAGGCATTTTGGCAATTCAAGAGGAGTTCAATTCAATTCTGTTATGGAAAACAGTCTTTACGCATCACGAAGGCGTACGTGCGTTTCCTTTCCTCCACACACGAAATATTATACTCATCCACCCTCACGTCGAACTTACGTCGAACGTTCGACTTACGAACGTTCGACTTACGAACGCCTCCGTAGTTCACACACATTACGAACGCCCCTGTAGTTCAAACCGCTTTACGACGACCTACATGGCTGACATCATCTCACGAATGCGTCTGCAGCGTAAAACAAGTCTGCGAACGCCACTGAAAGTCGTTTCGTATCATAAGGTAGTTCCAGATTTCACATCGTCTTACGAACGCCTCTATGTCCTCCTCACGAACGTCTCGAGCAGTTCATTCCTCCCTTATTTACGCATCTACAACTCAGATTGTCTCACGAACGCCTTTGCAGCTCAGAGTGATTCAAGAGCGGATCCCGTACGAGCGAACAGATTGACTTGAGAACACCTTCCATTGCTCACACTGTCTCACGAACGCCTCCCACTGTTCAGTCCTTATCACGAACGCGCTCTTGACGCACCGAAACCGTAGGAAGGCGTCGGATGTCTTGGCTAGCAAGAACATCTGTGTTCCCCTCACCTGCAATCATCACCGCCAGGTGCGACAAGCGAGGAACGACGACATTCCTCCAGTGAACGACGACGTTCCTCCAGTGAACGACGACATTCCTCCAGTGAACGACGACATTCCTCCAGTGAACGACGACGTTCCTCCAGTGAACGACGACATTCCTCCAGTGAACGACGACATTCCTCCAGTGAACGACGACATTCCTCCAGTGAACGACGACATTCCTCCAGTGAACGACGACATTCCTCCAGTGAACGACGACATTCCTCCAGTGAACGACGACATTCCTCCAGTGAACGACGACATTCCTCCAGTGAACGACGACATTCCTCCAGTGAACGACGACATTCCTCCAGTGAACGATAACATTCCTCCAGTGAACGACAACATTCCTCCAGTGAACGAGGGCTTCCAAGGAGCGTCTTTTATCGCGGTGGAGCGGAGTGAATTGTAAATGTGTATCCTGGTTGATGAGTTATAAGAATGAGTAATATGAATCGTGTCCAGGACACGGTAAGTGAAGAAATCTGGGCCATTATTCGTCAAAGCTTATACGCAGCCACTTGCGAAGCCAGTATATCTTTCCTCAATCATGGCAGCTTTGTTTTCATTTATTAAACAGCTGATGAGCTTTAGAGCAGAATGAGGTTTTATATATAACAAGATTTTGACTAGAGCGCGTCTAGGCACACCCTGAGAATAGGTTCGAACCCTCATTAAGGTCCTTATGTTCAAATGTTCATTGAGGTCAAATGTTCATTTGATATATCACGTTATTGCGATTAGTGTGTGTGTGAAAAATCTTATGTTGGGAAATTATGAAACTCGTCAATTGCTCAATACATGTAAACACAGCCACAATGATCAAAGGGAAGATGTACAAGTTTCGAAAGTAAATGCGTTAATGAATGATAAATCTTGGCCACCCTGTTGAAAGAACACTTACAGTAAAAAAAAAATCAACTCATTTAATTTTGTTCAATAGTTCTCACAGCAGCTCTTATACAATATATTGTATAAGAACTGTATTGTGTAACACACATAAGACTGTATTCAAATCCCACATCAAATCCGGTAATATATATATATATATATATATATATATATATATATATATATATATATATATATATATATATATATATTATATATATATATATATATATATATATATATATATATATATATATATATATATATATATATATATATATATATATCCCTCCAAAAAATCATCAGTTATCCATTATACTAATCTGAAAACCTTTCCACTTCTATTCCACTCAATCAACCGGTCAATTAGCGTGAGATTTAAGTACGTCTCACCCTATTTCATAATATCCTAACCATCTGTATGCGTATTCCATCGCTTCTTTCCATCGTCCATTCCACCAATCAACTTCTGAACCTTCCTGGCAATGATACTCCCCGACTTGAATTATCGGAAATTACTCGTTTCGAAAAGAAAAAATATTGCATTAACCTCAATTAGGGGCATAAAATTGCTTAACAGTATCTTCAGAGAATAATTTAAGGTTTGTGGATTCAATTTCATGGCGTAATCCTGGTTTTCACTGACCTATGTGCTTCGAAGTGAGGCATGACGGTGGATGGATGGTGGTGTTGTGGTGTTGGATGAGTGTGGTGTTGAGGTGGGGGATGAGTGTGGTGTTGTGGTGGTGGATGGATTTGGTGTTGAAGTGGTTGTGAAGTGGACTGAACTAAACAGGTATAATCAGTCAAACATTCAATTTTGAATGTTTGACTGATTAGTAAAAAAGAAGTAACAGTCATTGAAAAGGTGATATATATATATATATATATATATATATATATATATATATATATATATATATATATATATATATATATATATATATATATATATATATATATATATATATATGCGAACAAGCCTGAATGGTCCCCAGGACAATATGCAACTGAAAACTCACACCCCAGAAGTGACTCGAACCCATACTCCCAGAAGCAACGCAACTGGTATGTACAAGACGCTTTAATCCACTTGACCATCACGACCGGACATAATGAGGTGATAGCCGAGGCTATTTGAACCACCCCACCGCCGGCACTCGGATAGTAATCTTGGGCATAGCATTTTACCAAATCACCTCATTCTTTGGGGCACACGTGAGGAACACAAATGCGAACAAGCATTTGTGTTCCTCACGTGTGCCCCAAAGAATGAGGTGATTTGGTAAAATGCTATGCCCAAGATTACTATCCGAGTGCCGGCGGTGGGGTGGTTCAAATAGCCTCGGCTATCACCTCATTATGTCCGGTCGTGATGGTCAAGTGGATTAAGGCGTCTTGTACATACCAGTTGCGTTGCTTCTGGGAGTATGGGTTCGAGTCACTTCTGGGTGTGAGTTTTCAGTTATATATATATATATATATATATATATATATATATATATATATATATATATATATATATATATATATATATATATATATATATATATATAGTAAAGATGTTCAACAGCTGTTGCAACATGAAATAACAATCGTAACAACCATATTCTATTTCTCTAATATATTTCTCTTATTTTAATTTTCGTTACTTTCAGCTGATGTAAATCACTTTTTTCTTTTTATTAGGCATCATTGTTAATTTATTATTTATTATAATTTATTAGGTATGTTTCATCACCTCTCTCTCTCTCTCTCTCTCTCTCTCTCTCTCTCTCTCTCTCTCTCTCTCTCTCTCTACCAACGCCTCACGTCTCTCGTGTTAATTACGTAGGGAAGATCTCATCCTTTACAGCACTCTACAAAGACAGTGGTGTTCGCAGACGGGTGACTCACTCTCTCCCCGTTCAATTACAGAGTGTAATGGAAAGGTGTGGACGGGACAGGAAGCTGGGGAGAAGAAAAAGTGAGAGAGAGAGAGAGAGAGAGAGAGAGAGAGAGAGAGAGAGAGAGAGAGAGAGAGAGAGAGAGAGAGAGAGAGAGAGAGAGAGAGAGAGAGAGAGCGATCAAATGTGTAAATTCCAACCCGAAGTGGACTACGCAAGACTTAAAATACAAGATTTATCATACATGAGTTTAAGAATGGGTAGAACAAGACTGAAAAATATAACATAGAAGGAAATATACATATTAATCCTCTGTGTAGTTCAGGATTACCTGGATAAACACATACTGAAATCAGCGTATGAGTGAATGACTTGCGTAAAACTCATTAAGTAATTGCAACTCATTAAGTAGTTTGAGATGGCAAGTAATCCAAGAATACGTGGATAATTTTATGTGATTAATGCTGCCAGTTCTAAGGTGAGTCTCTCCTCCAAAATCAAATAATGGGTAACAAAATTTTACGTTGTTCTAAGTTTCATTTTTTATTTGGTTTATATATATATAGATATATATATATATATATATATATATATATATATATATATATATATATATATATATATATATATATATATATAAAACCCACTTCTACCCACTTCAATGCTCCGAACCAATATAGAAGCATCAAGAGGAAGTATGGGCCAATAGGCCCTATGCAGTTACTTCCATTCTTATGCTCTCATATCCAACTAATACCCATTGTTTCGTGTTCTGTCTTCCATTTGTCACAAATTTGTTCACCTCATTCAAACTGTTGCAGCATATCACGTCTCCTAAGTACGAGTATATGTAAGACGGATAAGTTGTTTAGTGTTAGTATAAGTAAAACTCTGTTTCGTGTTTTCAGGTTACAGTTGTGTGTGTAAACTAAAGTCTTTGAAAATGTAATAAGTTATTACGAAACGCGTTCAAGCGTCTCGTCAGACTAGAAATAAAAATGAATTTTGGAGAATTGATTTTTCAATTGCCATCGACAGTAAAAAGAAACATAAGAAATATTGAGAAAATTCGTGTTAGAATTATTAATCTCACTTTTTCGGTCATATTTAACAACATATGTTTACA